TATTGGTTTCTGAGATCAGTTCTATATTGTTAATCCTATCCCTTTCATTGGGTTATGATTTTTTTAACCCCGATTATCCTTCTAACCATAATTTTTGTCATACTGTTCATTATGCTGACTCTCTTCTTTGGGAAGTTGATATTTCTCTCTTGGACCTTCAAGGTCTCTCTCTTAATGATAATTCTTCTTCAGGTAAGGGTTTATCATGTTTGATTTTGCCATCTTTTTCTTTCTAGAAAAAGATGGGGAATAAAACATATTGATCGATTATTGGTTTTTCACACACTGTCAGATCAGAATAGTTAGATTTTTCTAACTCCCCTGGTCTATAGTGCATGACAATCGAATATTCTAACCTTACTTCTTTTTATTATTAGATTCTGATTCTGATAATTCTGAGGATAATCCTTATGAATGCTTTCAGTCTAACTATGATCCTTATGAAATGTATCATTTCACTGAGGAACGTAAAGTTCTTTTGAATTATAAATATTGCTTGCTATCGAGAGGTGTTACTTCTTTTCTTGAAGAATATTATGACTTGGATGATTCAGATAGTTATTATGATAGTAATAGTGTTAGTGTTTGTGAGGATAACTATGATTGTTATAGTAATTGACTTTTGTATTATAATTTTTGTTCTAATAAATATTTTATTGTTTCTTTTTGTTTTCTTTTTGGCTTTCTTTCCACGGCTTAAGTTCTTCTAATTCATCATTGGTTTCTCATGATAGAAAGTCTGTAGCAAGATTCTTTGCCCCTTCTATCCTATGTATTTCATAGTCAAAGTCTTGTATCATTATTAACTAATTATTTATGGTTGTTGCTTTACTTTGTGTTCTTTTTCGCGTAGTTATTCCTGTTGTATCAGAGTATATATGTATTTTTTGACTTTCAATATAATGTTTCTATTTTTTCAGATGATGTACTATTGTGTGTATTTCTTTTTGTGTCACTGGCCAATTCCTTTGTAGCTCTAATAAAGATGTCGATCCTATTTTTATTATTTTAATATTTCCTTGTGGTGGTTTGGTATAATCTTTTTCTGTTAGTATTTGTTCTTTAATTAATTTTTTTCGTTTAATTTTATCTTTGACCTTCCAATGATCTTGTGATTCATCACCTATTTGGTATAGTATTGCTCCGATAGCCTTGTCAGAAGCATCTGTTTCTATAAAGAAAGATTATTCATATCTGGATATGATAATGATAGTACTCGCTTTAATTCTATTTTAAGTTTTTCTATTGCTTTTTGGCAGTCTTTATTCTAATCGAAGTCTTTTTTGCCTACTCTCTCGTAGAGTACAGTTGCTATCTTTACAAAGTCTACTATATAATGTCAAAAGTAATTCATAAATCCTAGAAAGCGTTGTAGTTTCTGTTTGGTTTTTAGTATCACAAATTTATCCATATTGTTTATCTTTAAGATATTCTTTCCAATATTTCTATATGATACTTTACAATTAAGTATAATTGTCTCTTGCACAAGAAATTTATATTTTGATGATTTAATTTTCAGGGCTGCTTTTTTTAAGCATTCTAACACCCTTGTTAGTTTTTCTTGTACTTCTTTTTTATCTTTCATTAGTATTACTATGTTATCCATGTATATTAGTACATAATCTAAGTGTTCTAATATCTTATTTATTGCTCTAATTAAGTATGCAAGTGCTGTTTGGATCCCAAATGGTATTCCTTTTCAACAGTATGTTCTATATTCTGCAAATTGTGTTGCTGTATACTTTCTTGATGGTTCTGCTACCAGTATTTGCCAATAGGCTGATTTAATATCTATTGTTATATAATATTTATATCTGGCCACTCTTTGTAATATTTGTTTTGTATCTGGTAATGGTTCTCTAAGAGGGAGTAGAAAACTATTTAGTTTTCTATAATCTATTGCAATCTACTTTGTTCTATTTTTCTTTTCTATTACTACACAAGGACTTTGCCAATCTGTGTTTCTACTATTTATTATTCTATTTTTTAACAAGTCGTCTCTCATTTTTCTTATAACAATTAAGTTTTCTTCTGAATATTTTCTTCTCTCTTGCATTTTGTCTTTCAATGATATTTTTCTTTTGTCAATTTCTGGTTTAAATATAAATTCTACCAGAGGTATTTCTTTTGGATTTACAAAAGTATGCATGTCTTTTTTTTCTCTAAAGATATTGACATATTTGGTCAAAATATATTTGATTAACTTCCATGCTTCAGATTCTCCAGTTTCAAGACAGCGGTCTTGAAGTATTTTTATTCTTTTCTTTTCAGTTTCGACGGATTCGTCGAAATTTGGTAATTTTTGAAGAAAATTTTTGTTAATTTTCGGTTCAAAATTCTTCCATTTTTTCGTGTTAAAATTTTTAATTTTGACCTTCTCTCTATTAGCTATATGTTGTCCTTTTTTGATTTTGAATTTTCTATCAGAATAATTTAATATTGTTATATATTTTTCATTTGCTATCCCAGGCTGCACAATTACTGCTTTTTTGGCTTTTCTAGCTGTGGTTCTTATGTAAAGATCATTTTTTATTGGTTCTTAGATCTTTATATACTCTATAGTCATAGGGGTATATCTGTTTTTTCATTTGCTAATATTTGATATTTAGTATTTTTTTCTTTTCGTATAGTTGGTAATATAATATGTCTGATATGAGTTGGATGTTGTTCTTTAATTTCTTTATAGAAATTAAGGTTTATATCCATTATTTCAGATATGTTTTTAGATAGTTCATATCCTTGTTCAGGTTCTGATTCATCATCGATTTCAGTTTTATGTTCTGCTAGATCTTCTAGGTATACTTCTTGTTTTGTATTTTCTGTCTACGCGTGTGCTAGATCTGTATATTTGAATGTATTTTTCCATTCTTTATCAGTTAATGCTGATAGTTTTATTAGTACTGGATATAGGACTTTTTGTCAATTCCATTCTGATTCTATAGTTCGTGTCTATTTGGTTTTTTTAGAATTATGCCGTAAGAATGATCCTCCTGCTTCATATTCATTATTCGGATCATATAATTCTCCTTGTCGATTATAGTTATTTCGACTATAATCATTATAATTGTTTGTGTCTTCCTGAATATAATTATCTAGTTCAGCTATTTGTTGTGTATCTTCTTGTATTAATTGTTCTTGTTCTGATTGTCTGAATAGTTCTTGTCTTTGTTGATTCTCTTTTCAGAATTGTTCTAGTCTAGGATTCTTAATTAAGTATGATTGGTTTGAAAGTTGCGATCTTTGTCTTTTGTGACCATATTTTGGTAATAGTTGTTGTGATTAGTCATCGTTTATTGGCGCGTATAGACTGCTTGATTCTGATATTATATCTGTTGGTCGTATTTCTTTTATTAATGATGATGATTTATGTTAATATTGTTTTAAATAAGATGATGATTGTGTTGATTGCATTGAATTTCTTCTACTTAGCATTTGTTGTGCTGCACTTAATGTGCCTTGTACTATTCCTTTGCTTTATCAAAGAAGGTTGGTGATGTGGGTAAGCTTGGTCTTGTCGTTGTTCTGGATATTGTTTGCTCTGGTATTTTGGTATATTAATCTTTATCTTGTTTATTTAACTATTCTAATGTTCTTTCAAAGTTGTCATCTAGTAACCATCTATTTGCTATTTGTTCTGTTTCTCTTGGTTCATTATCTGTTGGTCTATATTTTTCATGGTATGGATGTTTTGGTGATAATGTTTCTGGTAATTCTAAACCTTGACGTCTGGCTCTTTGTTGTTCTTGGAACATTCGTTCTTCTTCGTCTTCTACGTTATACATTTTATCTAAGTTTTCTAGAGATACTTCCAATAGTTTCCTATATTTTGCTTGATATTGTTCTCGTAATAGTTCGCTTTTACATAATTCTATTTGTTGAGCGAATCTTTCTATTAAGATTCGTTGTTCATATTCTTGTATTTTCTCAAAGTCTTTTCTTTCTAGATTTAATGCTCTATTCGTAGTATAACTGTATTCTTCTTCTAAATCTTTAACTAAGTCCCTATTCTTCTAGAGAATAGTATCTTTTGTTTCAGTTAATACAGATATTGTTTTGAACAAATAAGTTTTCTTGTCTTCTGCTGTCTTGGCTTCTCTTATTTTTCTGTTTGTAACCCTTTTGATTTCTTCGATATGCTCATTAGTCTGTTGTTTTGATAACTGGAAAATATATTTATAATTTGTTTCTATACTATTTAATCATTATTTTAGTTGTCTTAATCCAGCTCTAATCTTTGGATCTTCTTGTTCTTTTTCTTGTTGTAAGATTCGATCTAATTGTGACAATTGTGTTTTGATGAATGTTTCTATTTTTGGTATTTTGACTTTGCTACTTCCTCCTTCTTGGTTGAAGGTTATATTTAGGCTTTTAGCCTTTCCTTTCTTATCTTTTTTAGTATTATCTTTTCCTATTACTTGTTCTCTAAATTGATTTATTTCTCTTTGCACTATTTCTAAATATAGTTGGTTCAGTTTTTTTTCTTGTTTATTTTGTGGTACTTCATGTTCTGCTACAACTGTCATTCATTGTACTTGTTCTGCGAGTAATATTACTTCTGGGTTATCAAATTCTATTCCTAATGGAATTGTTATTTCTGATGATCCTATTCTTTCAAAGTATTGGTTTTTGTGTTCTTTTAATTCTTGGTCCTTTTCTTTAGACTATTCTTCTTGAAGTGTTTCTTCTTGAAGTGTGTCTCTTGCCCATTCTCTTAGTTTAGAGATTTCATGTATTTGTGCTATTTGATTAGCTATTTTATTTGACGGTATCTCTACTACCGCAGTATAGACCTCTTTATGCTATATAATCATTTGATATATTTCTTGTAGTATACTTGCTTGTGAATCTAATAGGTGCTCGTGTTTGTCCATTCCTTTGCCGAATATCACTTCTGGCAGGCTGTAATTCATGTGTACTAATATGATTTCTTGTCTATACATTCTCAGTACGTTCCTATATTCATCTATTCACTTGCTTTG